CAGCCCGCGACCTCACCTGGCCGCCCGGGCGGCCCCTCCCTCGCTCTCCGCTGCTACTTGGAATTTTTCCGTTGCAACACTGGAGATAGAGTTGGTATCTTCAGTATGTAAAGGTCCCCTCATGCGCAACAAGAAAAAAATGCTTGGTAATAAAAAAAAGTTCTTTTCCACCATCAGGTTGGCAAAGCCCCCCCCAGTCTTTCAGGGGTGTCGAATGTTCTTTCTGGAAGCCCCCGGCAGTGTTTCTGTCCAACCTTAAATGCCACACGCCCTGTGACCAGAAGCCCCGCTTCTAGGAATCAGTCCTAAGAAAATCATCAGACAGGCGCACAAAGACCCTGCCATGGGTGGTGGCTGCAGCACAGCTAGTGGCAGTGAAAGCTGAAGACTGTCACAACCAGCAACAGGCTGCTGAGATGCCCGCACCCCCCACCGCCCCTCGGCAACTTTGAAGGTGATGCTGAGGATGGTCCAGGGATGGGGAAGGACATTCCCTTTCAAGTGGGAAAAGAATGACCTTGTTCTTTAAAATCTGCAAGTGAAAAAGACTGGAAGGTCAGGCAACACCCACGCTGGCCCCCTGAGGCTGGGGGCAGGGTGGGGACAGTCTTCTTCACTCTTTTCTGCTTCTCTCTGCTGCCACAAGCTGCTGCTTCCACCAACCAAGCTGCTGGCCGCCTCCACCCTCACCTCCTCGCTCTGCCACGGCCTTCCAGCCCTCTCCCAACATACCTGGGCCCACCCTCCTGGCCTCCTGCAGGGACCCACCCTGCCCTCCAGAGGCCGCAACATCCCTGAGGGGGTCCTAGTCTGTGGAGTGGGGTCAGTTCTCTGCAGCCTGAGCTTCAGCTGGCTCCTCCCTTTCCCAGCACATCCTGCTGATGGCCTCCAGCCATAGGTCACCCACTTCCCAAGGGGAGGGGCTGCCCTCCAGATGCCTGCCCCTCCCCCAGGCCTCTCATTGGGTCTTTCCAAACCTCCTCCCCAGACTGGCAGCTACTGGGGGACAACGCCACACCCTGGCTCTCGACAACTGAGCCCCCCCTTCTGTCGTGCTTCTACGGGCTCGCATCCACCCCCCATGGTAGCAGCCAAGACCAGGGGGTCTGGTGGGCCACTCTGCCCCGGGAGCACAAGAAATTATCATTGTGGCATCTGGACACTGGACTCTTGTCATGAAGCCCAACTTTGGGCCACAGGCAGCTGCCTGGCAGGACCAGCAGGTGGTGCTGTGCTGTCTGCACTCAGGAGAAGCCCTCCCTGACCTGAAGGTCTCCTTGCACCTCTCATCCAGTCTGAACACCTGCACACAGCACACAGCAGGTGCCCAGTCATCAAGCACGTGCTTACCAGTTGGACAGACAAAGCCCTTCTGCGTTACCTGCAATGCGAATGACTGCCCGCTCCGCAGGGTCCAAGACACTGCCATTGCCCCCAGAGCCACCTCCACTTCGTCGGCTCCGCTGCGTTTTCCCAAGGTTCCAGGGCAGTGTGTCCCCAGGGCTGGGAGAGCCACTGCCTCCGTTGGAGCCATCTTCAGCCACAGTCCGCACCTCGGAGTCCTCGCCGGACATGGCCTCCTGGAGGGGGAGCAGGAGGGTCACAGCTCTGCCCATGGAGGCAGCTGATACCGCACGCTGACCCGCCACCTTCTTAACCTAGACGTCGACTTCATCCCACCCTGCTATCTCCCGGACACTGACACCCACACCCCTACGTAGGCCCTGCCTCATGCACCCCCACCCCGCTTTCAACCCAGACGCTGACAACCCTCTCCCCCACCCACAAATGGCCTGCGCCTTCAGCCCATAGCTCAGATCCCCACACAGTGACCCCTCTCGGGCCTGACCTCGCCCCCTCCAGTCTATCGCCAGGACACTGATCCACCCTCTCCAGCCCCAGCCCTGCACACTGACTGACACTCTCTTCTCTTAGTCATCCAAACACGACCCACCCACCCACATCACCCAGGGGCCGACCCCATCACAGGACACTGGCTGCACCCTCCACCCTACTGAACGAAAGGAAAAGGGGTGATTACTTCCACTTGGGCACTGACCCACCGCCCTACCCTCTCACTCAGACATTGACCTCCACCCCTTTGTCCTAAACCCTCTCCTGTAATCCGCTAATCAGCGGGTAAGCCAGGCCCCCCACAAACACCGACCACCGCCCCTGCCCTCACCCGGTCATCAGGGAAGGACCTCCAACCCCATCCTCTGGACACTGGCACTGCACCTCCAAGCTGGCTGTCTCTAGGACTCCCCTTCACGCCACCCCACCTACAGCCCCGCGCGGTCCCACCTCGGTCTCCGCAGTGGAGTCCTATAAATAGCAGGAGCCGCAGCGGCGTGGGCTGCGTGAGCGCCCGGCCGCCGCTCCAGCAGCCCACCCCGCGCGGCGCGCACACCCGCACCGCGTACCCCTGCGTGCGCACTCCTCGGCTCCCCGTCCCCGAGAGCACTGGCGTGCGGGAGGTGAATGGGGCTCTGTCTCGGCGGGGGTGGGGTAGCGTGGGGGCACAATGTGGGCTCTGTGCCTCCGCCCTCAGGCCAGGGGCTGCGGAGGAGACAGCAGGCACCGCGCCGGGGGCGCCACCCGTCCCGCCCCCCACGCTCCTCCACC